GTGGGGGAGGGGTAAACGGGAGTGGAAATGTGGTCTGCAATGCTAATAAATGTGACGAAGACGTGCATGAAGTGAATGCACGAAGTTTGTGCTTACAGCGATCATGTTCCTCGGAAGTGTGCACTGATAACCGACTGTAATCTGTTTATCCACCCTTTCCACTGTAGTTGTAAGTGATTGCATAACACGTCTTCCTCACAATTTGAATTATTCCAGGCTCTGTGAGTGACCATGAAATATCACGAAAACGATTGCCGTACAGAGAAGTTACTATGTTCGTCATGTTTTGAGATCATTTTGTATTTCGAGTGGGTTTACATTCGTAACAATTTATCAGTTTCTCACTTGCTTGGGAGGGCACATTCATTATTTAATGTGTTCACCCTCCCCCCCGCGGTCAACCAGTTGATTCATTCATTCGGTTCTCCCTATTGAAGATGTATTCAATCAATGTGCAGCTAATAGTCGTCCAACGTTGTTTATCCGAGTGGAGTTTAATCATTGTGTAACACGGATCTAATTTCACGTAGTAATTTTTTTCTCTCAGCCAACTCACACCACCTTTGTCTGTGTGATTCTGTCCGATCATTTGCTACGTGCACCGTACCTTGATTTGTTGTTTTCTTAGGTCATTCAACTCGAGGAGGAATTAGTTCGATGTCGTGAAGAAGGCCTGATGTCCAAAGACGTATTGAAGCAGCATACGGGAAAGCTTAATCAGCGTTTACAAACGGTCAATAACCGATATCGAGAACTGGAGCGACGTCGTCAACTGGAGATGGAGGGCTATCGGACCGATATAAACACATTGCGCAAGAAGTTACGTGAAGTGGAAAAACAACTGCTCAAGGTAAGCTTGTCACACATTTGCTATTCTTTTATATCTGTCAAACCAAAAATCGAAATTTTCTCATGTAAGGCAATAATTGTGATAACTGGTTTTCAGTTTGCACAACCATTAACCTTGCACCGTCGTGTGACAATGCCACCAAACTTTGGGATTGGGAACACACCTCTTGGACACCCCATTCTTCAACAGTTCATTTTATAACGCTTATCAAGCGTCCTTCTTATAAACTCTCACAAGAATCTGACCACGAGTCGCTGACGTCACGAAGGTGATCCGTCGTGACTTTTTCCGTTCCTCCTACTCGATAAGGCTTTTCGCAAGAGGCGGAGGCGGAAGGGGGGGCTGAGCGAGTACAAATCACACTACTGACCACCCAACTCGTCCAAAACAACCGCACAGATGCCTTGGATTGTTTGCACTCGGCCGTGCCAAGGTTATAGATGGAACCGCGGGTAAAAATACCGAAAGTTGATCGGGACACCACGTGTAATCCCATTCTGGAAAATCTTGTTTGTTCCCCTAACAGGTAATAATCATGTAAATGTGAGCCGAATCAAGGGTCGATCAGTAAGGTTTTGATAGATTACAACTTGTTTGCACGATAGAATGAGGCTGAAAAGTGTGCAGATTGTTGAACGAATCGAATCAGCAATGATCTACAATCATGAAACGGGTGCATCTGTGCTTGCGTGCGTCGAAATGGGGCGAACGTGTCCGATGAGCACGTGAGCACATTAACCATCTAGTTCACCCCTATCGCCTGCCTGTAGGGAGTGCTCCAGAAGTCGATATAAATATGTAGTTCGTACTGCATGTGATGCAAAACCTCGGAAACTCTCTGCACTTTCATTTCAGTAGGAGAACTGCGTTCGTCTAGTATGAAATAATCGTCATTCTGGTGGTCCGGAAATGTTAGGTGTAAATCAACATTTACCTGTGGCATAAAAATGCATGCTCGCGTTATTGTGAGCATCCAAATGAAGTATCAAGCATTTTTCCAGAAATCTTGATCCAGTTGATCGACACACGCACTTTCAAAAGGTGAATGGTTCGATCTCGAATGACCGAGATCCAACCGAGAAAGTATCACACATCAATATCTTTATCTCGTCTTCTACAGAAACCGTTTTCCGATACCAGTTCTAACTCTTTGCAGTGGGGATATTTCTCCGAGTTTTGATTTATGTTGGAGGATTTCAAATCGATATGCAGTTTTTCTTTTAGGGGACCAACATAGTGAGATGGAAATGCTAGGTACAAGTTATATTTAAATATCTGCTTCCGTTGAGGTCCCTTTTTCTATCTGTTGGCGTGTTGTAAGGTGGATTTGCTCTGGTCTCCAAAGCGTTCACCACTACCAGCTTCATGAGTACAGTTCTCAATGCTCAGTTATGACGATATGTACAACCTGTGGTATGAGAACTGACATTGTATTTGGAATAGTCTGGGCATTATTTTGGCAGGTATTCACACCTGATTACAGGCTTTTTCCCATCCCAGTTCCGACCTGCTTTTTGTTATCGTCTGTGGTGTTTAAGTATTTTAAGTCTAAACCACAGAGGTTTTGAAGTCGTTTCCACGTGCACCATCATCACTGCCCGCACTATCCGTTTTTCCTTATTTTGTTCACCCGACCCATCTCTGAGAAATCCCCTTTCGTGAGTCACAAACCCTTCCCTGATTGCAGACTATACCACTGAATGATAAATAAATAAATCGAAAGTAAAGATCAATTACATCATCATATTTCAAAGTAGCATCGATTCATTTCTCATCGATCCCACAACCGATGTTGAAAACTCCTTGTTTGTAACCATTTGTTGTTCGACAAACGCAATTGCGGAATAATTGTACACATACACCGTTTTCCATTTATCCCCAGGTTATTTTTGCAACCATTTTTTCTCAACCTTACCAGGCCAATCACTTGTCCTTAAACTGACTGTTTTCAACATGTGTGCCTCGATCCCGTCAGTTTCACTTGATTCAAATCCCTGTTAACCTCGTTCTGTAGTCACCACATTGCCTTCTGTCTGGGTTGTTGCGTACTACGAGGCCATGTTCAACTCGTTCCACTTGGGCTGTACGGTTTTTCGTCAGACCTCGTTTCGATCTGTGTCTGTTCGTTTCTGTCTTCCGTTCCCTCCTTCCACATCCGCTCCTTCGGCGGCTTTTTTCACTCCTGATGGACACGTTCATCCTTGTTATGGGTTTAATGGGTCATTCTGCACCCACCGGTTTCCGATCATATCGGCCTAGAGTGCATAGAGGTCTTAGTACGCATAATTTATAACTGGTGGGTTATAACTGCAAAAACACGGGCGTAATTTTTCTTTCCTGCTACACTGTGGTTTGAATAGGTCAGAATTGCACGTTTTTTATCCTGTTTACTTCACTCATATGTGTTATTCTGCTGCAGCTTTCAAAATCCTCATTAGTTTCACACAGAAAATGTTCTTCGAATCCGCACACTCGTTTTCACAGCATTTTCACCAGCTTGGAATCCCGTCAGCCACGCTTCCGTTCTAGTTTGATCAATCGTGTGTGGTTATGCAACACAGAATTGCTGCAGTTAATGAAATATTAGCGCAGAATGTGGTTTTAAAGAACTCTCGAATTTCTTCGCAACCATTTTCTCTTCGGGACGTTGAAAATTGGTGATTATGTGCTGTCTCACTAGTAGATTGGGTTTGCAAACGTATTTGAACTGACTTTATGTTGACTACTTTTAGTACACTGCTTGGTCAAATAATGATCGATCGATGTGACATTTGGTGTTCAGAACGGAGAAGAACATCGCATAAGCATGCTTGAAATAATAAGGTTTCACACTGTTCTGATTTTAAAGGGCTGCCGTTTAATGAGGCTGTCACAGCTATACTCGTGGACACCACTCGAGATTTTTTTCATTTTCCGACGCACGCATCGCCATCAAACCTTTGGTATGGGATTGTTTCGGAAGTTTTCACCCTATCGATATTTTCTACTGGCTTTGATGTAGCTACCGATCAACTTCTATCCTCACATCGCAGTTATTGGTTGGAATACTGACTGACTTCTCATATAACTGAGAAATGTGACTGAACTTTAAAAGTTGACTCGCTTTTAAACTGCAGTAAACAGCTGATGAAGCTAAGATATACAAATCCCATATATTTAACTCAGACGCAACGAATCAATATGTTGAAAATTATTTTCTTGTGGCTTTTATCTTTTCATTATGCCCCGTCTAAGGTCATTCCATGTTAAGTTGCATCAGACAAAAATGTTATGATTATTACCCTATGATATGTAACATCACTAACTGCCAGCACGATAGCTTCTGTGCGCGCCTCGCTCGACAAGGTGGTGCTTCGATCGTCTGCCCTAATTTTGGGCCATTCACATAGAACTGTTGATTGCCGGTCTATCCCTAACACAGGTATCAGCAACGACAGCACCATAACGATATAGTTCGCCTGCAAAGCTTAGCAATACAGTCTCCGGTTTTCAGGATTCCTGTCCTACAGTTCTTCGTCAGACAACTGTCGTCAGAGGTTTGGTGCACACGTTTGTCCAATAAGGATGGAAACATCGGATTGGTATCGATCTGCTATTTCAACACAATTGACCGCAGGTAAACAATTGGGCGAATGTAGGGTCTTGCCGCAGTCACTAAGAGATCAGTCACCGGAAGCAGCAATGTACTCGTAGGTCTGAAAAGCGCAGACTTGGTAAAAATGATCAGATCCGAAGACACATGCACATAAGAACTGGATTGGATTGGGCCCCTCGTTTAGGAATTCTGCTGGTGAACGCGGAAATCAGGTACGTAATGAACATCCTCCACAAGCTTTTCACTTCACCATTGCAAACTCAGACTGCTCTGTTTCTTTCTAGAAATGCTCCCATATGACCGAGCGTCTCAAACAGCCTCTGCTGAGAAAGTCCTACTCACTGCCTTCTCGTTGCCCAGGTGTTTTGCACCAAAGTGAGAGGACGAAAAGCCGACATCCGGGGCTATAACTGGGTTGGTGAACCATTTAGTTCACCCAGGGGAGTTGGCCGAAAACCTTAATTCCAAACCAACCAAGAAGAGACGTACGAACCACACCTACACCTTTTCGGTTGTTGCAGTGGTCACCGGCTCAATTTGGTATTGAAGTGTATTGGGCACCTTGGATGTTTGACCCTCTCCGAAAGGCGTATAATCCGATGAACTGGACACCGGCTCCCAATGGATTGCGTTTTTCGCACACCACCCCGTTGGCTTGCGGCCAGGCTTTGGGTAACCAAAGTTTTCGGTTGTGAATTCTTCA